ACTAAATAAAATTTAAATGCTCTAGGTGGGATTGGTACAATTAAAACAGTGAAAGTTAATGACTGAATTCAGAAGCAATCAGAAAGCTTGTTCTTTTGGAAGGTACTTAAAGGTGGGCAGATGGCAGTAGACTTGCCATACTTCTCTCAGCTTATGTTTTTAACAGAGATGGATGGAAGGCAGAGAAAAAGAAAGATCATTACTGTGCTTTTATGTATGAAGTGCAGAGGAGTCTTAAGCCTCAGTGCATTAAAAAATGCTTTTTTGTATCACTTATGAATGTGATAGAGATGATGGTAAGAGAACTATGGTAGTTGTGCTAAAACTGATTCTGTTTATAGCAGTCAACTAAATGAATTATGGTGTACAAATTATGGTGTACAAATCCTTCAGTCTTATATTGTGTCTGCACAAGACAACTTTCCTGATGCAGGTAAAATAATTAAAATTTAGTAACTGACCACAGACAAGGAACAGAAGATTTGCCCATGAGCATTCAAAGGGATCGAGAGCAAAGCTGGAAATTGAACCCTTGCTTGATTCCTACCCAGCCTGATTGGGAGTGTTTCCTGTTCTTCAGTTAATAGACTGATGAGAAGCTCTATTTTCACACTGTTGCACAGTAAGCCTGTGTGTAGATAGCTCACTCCATTGTCAAGTCAAGGGTGTGTTTTCCAGTTAGCTGAAAACCACTGGAAAATTGGTGGGGTTTTGAATAGAAGTAGTATGTCTTTAGAATGAAGTGGTTTTGATTGAGTACTGCACGATCCAAATAAGATTGTAGAATTGCTACAAGAGGAAAGTCTATAACTTTCTATAGTTTAGGCTATTATCTGTTTAGAGTTTATTTCATAATTTGTGAGATTTCAGGTTCTTTTTTTGCTTTGTCCAAGGATTATGAACTCCATGTGTATACAGAGGTTTTAAATATTGCGTATTATGGACAAATGAACTGTTATAATTTTGTAGTTTTACTGAAAAAGAATGTATTTTTTTTGAGACTACATTAAAATGTTGTCATTTCAATTGGGCAGTAATAGACTGAATATAAACAGTTTGTCCTCCACATTCAGTGTGCATCCTTTTACTGTTTATTTTTTTATTTTTTCAAAATAGAAACTGGTGTTTCCCTTTTCAAACAATTTGCAGTTGTCAGGAGTACTGCTGATCAAAACAGAGCACAACACTGAGCATTCCTTTGAGTCTCCTAGCTTTCTAACCACGGAATACCTTCTCAAGTAAGGGATATTTCCTCTTGTTGTGAAACAAATAAGCTCATTGGAAGGTTAATGGTAGTCAAAGTTATTACTAGTTTTTTTGGGTCTCCCCCAATCAACTTAGTCTGTTCAGCCTGGAGAAAAGGAGGCTGAGGGGAGACCTCATCACAACTTCCTCATGAGGGGAAGAGGAGGGGCAGGCACTGATCTCTTCTCTGTGGTGACCAGGGACAGGACCCGAGGGAATGGCCTGAAGCTGTGTCAGGGGAGGTTTAGGTTGGATATCAGGGAAAGGTTCTTCACCCAGAGGGTGGTTGGGCACTGGAACAGGCTTCTCAGGGAAGTGGTCACAGCACCAAGCCTGACAGAGTTCAAGAAGTGTTTGGATGATATTCTCATGTACCTGGTGTGACTTTTGGGGATGGTTCTGTGCAGGGCTAAGAGTTGGACTCAATGGTCGTTGTGGGTTTCTTCCAACTCCATATATTCTGTGATTCTGTGATCTCTCTCTTCAGAAACTACTGTTAACTGGCCTTTCAGTTTGCCTTGCCAAGAGTTTTGCAGTAAAGAATTAAATGCATCAAGGATAAGAGTGTTCTCTAGACCATCAGGCCCAGTTCAGGATTGAGAATACAGCATGTTTTGAAAGAAGAGTGGACTTTGTGTTCTTGAGAATGAACTTTTGATTCTACATACATGCAGGATTCAAAATAAACCAACTTACACCATGTATCGGTGGGATGATCTTACATTTCTAGGATGGTTTATTAGTGGCACAGCAACTAAGTTTTTAGTCAATGCCATTTGTTTTGAAGCTTTTTGAGCTTTCTTTCTCATTCTTATGCCTTAAAAATCCTGTTGGTTGTAATTGCATAGAGTACGAATGTGTCCTTTGAATTTCTGTTGCATTTAGTAATTCTATGAAACTAAATGCTATGCATTGATTTTTTCAGAAATGCATTTGCTGTCTTGGCTGCCTCTTTCAGATTTACTGCTTACTAACAGGGAAAGTTGAAAATTTTAAAAGGTCCATGAACTTTTCTTGGGAAATCTTGGGGGCTGTATTTAGTCAAAACTGTAGAGTTACCAGGACTAACTTTGCCTGCTAATGAGCCATCACATTCTGACCTAAGTGATAAATGCAAGGCCATGGAATCAGAGCATTTTATTGCTCTTCTGACTTTTGCTTTATTTTCAAAGGTGGGAGACACATGGTTTCTTCAGCAGCATTCCAGGCAAGAATTAGTGTTGAGAAGCAGTTAGTTGTTTTGGTCACTTTTTTTTTTTGTTGGAGTTGTTGTCTTTTAGTTGTTTTGTTTTGTTTGTTTGGGTGTTTTCCCAACCTGTATTGGTCTAGAAGAGTTTTGTAACCACTTTTTATAAAATTTGGACTGAATAAAATAGGCTGGTGGGGAGGAGCAGAGAAGTGAATATAGTTTTAAAAATCAGAGTTCTGCCTTCTCTTTTTATTTATTTCCAAAGGAAATTGAATACTTATGTTCTTAAAGGGGATAAAGTCTGGCCATTCTCAATAATCAATCAGTTTATGTGGGTGTATAGCGCAGTAAAATTTTAACACAAGTGCTAGCAGGGCAGTGTGATTTCCCTGCTGGGTGTTCGTAGCCAACACAATGCAGCTGCACTTCAATCAGGACGACTCTGAAGCACAGAAGTGACAGAGAACATGGTGGTTAATGCGTTATCTGTATGCTGTTGCCCTACTGTGTACATCAGTGGGGAAGAAATCCCTTGAAAGGGAAAGGGAGCTGGGATAATGTTGATACTGATTGGATTAGACATTGTTCATGTCTGATCTTTAGTTAAGAAGCTGTTGAGTTCCTCTGCTGTTGATTGGACTTGATATTTCAGGTTGCCTTTTTCTTTGTAGTAGCATTAATAATGGCTTCAGCTTGGAAATGTCCAGATGAAAACCCATCTATTCATATTCCTCTAAACACATTTTTGGAACATTTTTTTTTTTAAATTTCTACGTAGACTTTTTGCTTTTTACAGTTTTGATCTTTGATCGGATATGGGGCTGGTTTTGTGAGGCAGTGTGCATAACTTGAGAAGTTCTCTGCCTCAAAGAATTTGTGACTTAGAGCCTGCTAACATCAGACTTTCCAAATGTTCAAATGGTTTGATACAGTGCCACTTAAAACAGACATCGTTATGGGGAACCAATGAGTTGCAGAGAACAAAACGAGCGTTTGGCATTCTAAGATGCTTTTTCGTCTGTTTTCAATAACTAACCTGTCAGGGTCTCATGATACTATTCCTGGTGTTTTTAAGGATGGCCGAGAGAAGGACTTGGCATGTTAGGAAATGAAATATGAGGGATCCTGAAACTTCATTTCTTAACAAGTAATTCTCCTCAAGCTGTATGAATTTTCTTGAGTTAGATATTGTAGAATACAAAGATACTATGTTTTCAATGAAACATCAGTGATAAGGGTTGTCTTTGCTGTCCAAGATCCTCACTAAAACCACCAGCTGATTTAAATTTTCCTTATTACATCAACATAGTGTTCCTCTGAAAAGAAAAATAAAACAATCTCTTTCCTGACTTGGGGGGAAAAGAAAGGCCATGCAGAATAATAATAAAAAGTCTGAATTTTTATACATGTTTTTGAATTCATCTGAAGTTGGATTGTAGATGCTGAGGTCCTTGGCCTGCACATAAAAACATAAGCTTTTGTCAAAGATAAACTTCACTTTTGCCTGTGCAGTGGCACACACACTCTCCAGTGAGAATGTAGCCAGAGCCAGAATAGCATTTGGCAGGGCTGCCAGCATCACAGACCTGCAACTCAGACCCTGTATAAACTGTCTTCTTTTAAAAGTGCAGGAGGAATTGAATCTAAAAGACAATATCAAGAGGTAACTCTCATATATTACATACAATAACATGAGTTTGAAACTAAAGGTATTTATATAACAGGCTTGAAGCCATAGAATATATACTATATGCTGCTCTATTCTGTATGTTGTTCTTTGAGTTGAGTGGCAAGTAACTGGACCTCTGCAGAGTGTGCATTGGAAGCAGTGAAATGGTTATGTATGAAGTTAAGAGTCAGCAGTTGACTGGTGTAGAACTCCAGCAGCTACTGCTTGAGTTAGAAGAACCAGGGGGGAGGTTGGGGAAGTTAGAGAACATTTGTGCTTTTGCTCTGGCTGCCTCTGGCAGTCTCTACAAACTTCCACAACCCACATCCCTGTCCGCCTTCAAACTTTGTCTTGAATTTCTCTTGCATTGTGGAGCAGTAGAGAAGACAGTAGTTCTGAAACTCTGTCACAATTTTTGCCATCTGGGAGGGCACTTGGTAGGAGCATTTCAGGGTGTTGTGTCTAGTGCTGTTAGCTTTCAGCCTGTTACTAAAAGGCATCAGAACCTGCTTTCTGTGTGTTGTTACTAATTCAACTGGTTGAACCAAGCTTTTAGACCAGGAAGACTTAATTTGTTCTAAATGTAGGTTTGTGGGTTGACAGAAGGTATTGTTGAGAAGTCTCAGTTCGAACTCCCAACTGTGTTGAAGACGCTATTCATGTCCTATAGATAAAGAATTGGGCCTGCTCTTCCATCTCACTTTTACACCTTTGTCTGACATATGGAAGGAAGAGGCTTTTAGATACTGTGCATTTTTCACTTATGTGAAACAACTTCTGTAATCCATGCCCCACTGATCTGGGAAAACAAATCCTCCTCTGCCACATACACTCAGTGCTTTAACATCTGTAGATGGCAATAATACTGACATGTTTTTCTGTTTTTTTCTTCTGTAGCATCTCCCCTTCTGCTTTTTGCCAACCGGCGGGACGTTCGACTTGTGGATGCTGGAGGCACGAAGCTGGAGTCCACTGTGGTGGTCAGTGGTTTAGAGGATGCTGCTGCAGTTGACTTCCAGTATTCACAAGGCATCGTTTTCTGGACAGATGTGAGTGAAGAAGCCATCAAGCAAACTTACATTAACCAAACCGGGAATGTGGTACAGAATGTCATCATTTCTGGTCTGGTTTCCCCGGATGGCCTGGCGTGTGATTGGATTGGGAAAAAACTTTACTGGACGGATTCAGAAACCAATAGGATAGAAGTAGCTAATCTCAATGGAACATCTAGAAAAGTCCTCTTCTGGCAAGACCTTGATCAGCCCAGGGCAATAGCTTTGGATCCTGCTCATGGGTAAATATTAATTTGGCTTAAATGCTTAAATGGATACAGTAGTGATTTATGTTGACTTTTTAGTTCTGAAAAGAAAGAAAAACACAGCCTTTTGTTTCATTTTACATTTTCCCAAGGTATTTTTCTCAAGTTCTGTAACTGAACTCTGTATGTTTGAGCTTAAATATTTTGTGGCAAGTAATGGTAGCCCAGACACTGAGCCAAGGAGAAAAATAGAACTGTTCTTAGGTGCCAAGCCAAATATTCAACTGGTATAATTACTAACTTATTCCATTGCACTTCTGAAAGGTAATTAAATTTCCAAGCATTTTTTGTATTATTATTATTTTCTCAGTTATCTTGTCTGGTAAGTTAACTTGATTTAATATGTGATGCCTATTTAATGAAGACAGTAAAATGTGTAAATCTGCATGAGTTGAAACAGGAACTATGCTCTGGTAAACAAAATCAGAATATTTTTAAGTGATGATATTGAATAATCATGTTTGAGCCAGCAAGTAAAAGAGTCCAGGTGAAACTGGGTATTCCCAATGTGATAGGGTGACCAGGTTAGTAAGTAATAAGAAAGCAGGCTGGATGTGCAATTTCTAGTGCTCTTGAAAATACTTGTGTATCTGTATGGTTCCTCCCTCCCTCTTCAATGCTCCCCACCATTTCACATGTGCTGTTTGCTGTCCCTGTGCACAAATAGTACTTTGGGCTTGGCATTTGTGTCAGTGATCACTGAAGATTTGCTGTGCTAGATGGACCCTTGTGATAACCATGAAAGAGAAGCGAGGTGCACTTCTCTTGTGTGCACAGATCTACACAAGTGAGGTGGTTTGCCACTAATTTGCTGCCATTTTCACGACACTTTTCTCAGAGATCACTTTGTCTTCCCATATAGTATATGTAGGTAGGTTTCTCGCCTGTAAGAAAATCAGGCATCAACTGACATTTTCACTGAGTCTGGCCTCTTTGCGAAGTGATGCTGAGTTAATGCAAGGGCTTGGGATAAGCCACAAATATAAAGTACTTTGTGGTTTATCCTGCTCTGGGAGACAGACAGTTTTTTGAGAAACTACCTGCTTCAGGTGTGTAAGAAGTAAAAATTGAAACTAAGCAACAGAGAGCAACTTAAAATTGCCATGTCATCAACTGCCATGCTACAGACTGGGACTTTGTCCAGTTGTTTTTGTAGTGTTTCCAGCATAAGACTTCCCAGATGAATGTGTGGAGTTATGGGTACATTTATGATTAATATGTAAAGGGCATACAAGTGCTAAATGAAATTGTGTGTACCCAAAGAAACAAAATCCTTAGTTTTGTTGATATGTCAAATGCTGGAAACTACCTGTATACCTCGGATAACTGTTGGAAAGGTACAGCCATCATCAGTGAAAGGGAAAGTGGAGTGACTTTGTTGGACCAGAGGACTTTTCCAGAGGAGTTCTTGTCCTTTTAATCCTGTCTTCACTACAGATGCCTGTAGGTGAAATGAATTCTTCCCATAGCAAATTGCTGTATGAAGGTATTTTAAATAAGTTAGCAGGAATCCTGTGTTATCCTGGCAGCAAGTAGTCTATGCAGAATTAATTAATGCTTAAAACTCACTTTAGATTTAGAGTTCAGTTGTATATTTAAAGAGAGAATATAGTGTTGAGTATTTTATGATGAGATAGATCAGAGAGAGTGCATGACATGCCGGTGCTGGGTTGACATCTCATAAGTGGATGCAGTGGATGCACAGGACCATCCCCAAGAGTCACACCATGTGCCTGAGAGTATTGTCCAAATGCTTCTTGAACTGCTGTCAGGCTTGGTGCTGTGACCACTTCTCTGAGAGCATTTCTAAAATGTCTCTTCTTTAAGACACACTATGAGACACTTGCAGGTCATCCGTGTGTCTCTACTTTTCCCAGAGGTAGTGAAAATCATTAATTGTTCGGGATTTACTGATGCTCTTATACATTATCATAATTAACAGGTGGCTGCTTAATATGTAACATAGCTTTTTTTTCCCATACACCTTAAAACTTTCTTGGTGGATCCACTATACATTCTAGGAATCAAAGGAAGCAGAACATGCAATAATCCAATTATTCTTCCCTGAAATGAAGGATAAACTAAGCAGACGGAGGAAAGCACGAAACATTTTTCTGCCAATTTGCTAACATTTTGTTTTGAACATTCAGATCCCAGTTCTGGTGTGTAGGTTACGTGAAGCTGAGTTTTTGTAATGAAGGACATGAGGCTGAAATTCTTGGTATTGTTTTGGAGAACATTAGCATTTATATACATTCTTGCTAGGTAGACTGCTGATGGGGGATTTGATAGTGTTGGTGGTTTATTGAGTTTGCAGCCTTTGCATAAGTATTTCTGTGTTTTTAGAACAGCAACTTCTAAAAAAACTGAATTTATTGTATGTAAAGATTTTGCTCAAGCTCAACTAAAGAATTAGCTCAAATTCTATACAATGTAGTGCAAAGAACGTAAATATCATGAACAATGTCTGAAGAAGCTGGATTGCATTTTAGAAGCAAGTTTTTATCATGTGTCAAGGCAAGCAAACTTCAGTTTCCTGAAAAGAAATTTTCAAAAGATTGCATGAATGAGTAGCCAAAACAAATGACTTAATTCTCAGTCCTGTAGGGAAGGTCTTAGATCTGAAGAGCCTAGAATGTGTGTTGTCAAGGATCATTAAATCTATAATATATGAATCTCAAGGCTTGCTATGTTTTAAATGTTCTGATTCTGGGAAGCTGTAGCATATCCATAATCCTCATATCTGATTTTCACAAAGTGCTTAATGAAGTAGTTAGTTCACATTATTAAAGCCTACAATGTATTAAAAATATTTACTTTGGTTAATGTAAATCTTAAATTTGTTACTAGTTCTATGATGGCTGCTGTGTTACCTTCTGGACCAAGCTAACTGTTCAAGTTTAGGCTGTATTTTCTATAGCTTGGCCTATTCAACAGACAATAATGCTTGAAAAATTTCTGCCCCCTTTGTTTGCTGAAGCACCAAGAGGTGAATCAGACATCTATGAAATGATTGTTTTAAAGAAAGATAAAAATTAATTGCTTCAAGAAAAGGCATCCTGTCTTGAGTGTTTTTTGGTGGGAGTGTAACTGCAGTTATCACTTGGTATAGTCACTGGGGTTGTTGAATTTGCCATACCTAACTCTAGTGGTGTCTGTAGAAATGATGTTTGTGGAGGGGGAAAGCAAGGAACTTCAAATTGGTTTGACTTACTGGAGGAAAGCTGCAAACCTCTTTCTACATTTTCTCCCTCATTTTGGTTCTTAAAAGTCTTTCATGACACGGTGTGGGTCTGTTGGGCAGAGGCATTGCCAGTACCAGTGGACTAGCAGTGGACAAGTGGGATATTAAAAAATGGATATAGAAGGGACAGCTATCACAAATAGAAAACTTTCAGTTCAGAACCTAAAATTAAATGCCTCAGATGTACCTGGTTGTTAATCCAGTGTTTCCTCAGTGTCACAGCAAAACCATGAACCAGACCTGTTAGCTGTTCCTACATAACTCACAACTGTGTTTATAGCAGCACTTCAATAAAACTGCAGTGGTGTTTACTGATGATTCCCTGGGACCTTGGTCCCACACAACAGTAGACAGAAGGTTAAGCATATTGGCTTGCTGTGTTGAACTTATTGGGATCTCTGTATGCTGAAGCCTGATCTTCGTGAGCTGCAGTAGACTAAGGCTTTGAATATTTTGATTCAGTTGAGTGTGAATGATGAAATATTTTAAACAGTGTATCATCTGATCTTCTTTGGAATAGTTGAGAGGAGGGGGAATACTGCATAAAAACTTGTGAGTGTTGCAAATAGTAGAGAAAAAAACCATGAAACATGGCACGAGTAAAGACTATGCTTTTTAGAACTTCTTCCTTTAACTCATGGCTACTTGGTTCAAATGCATAAGATGCCCTGGTTTTGAGCTAAACATGATTATTGCTGCCTTGAAAGCTAGAGATTAGTTTATATCCTGTACCTCTAGTAATTAATTGCAAGTAGAAAATTATTTTGAAGCTTTTGGTTAGTTATTTAAAAGTCTGTAATGATGTTGAATGTATGAATAGCACACTTGTTTTCTTAAAATGGAAGAAAAGTACTCAGCTGTGAAATTGGTTAGGAGTCATATCCAGTATCTTGGTGTGGCTGAAATTTCTGGGAGTTGGAAAGCTTTTGATATGTTGTGTATCCAAATAGCTGCAAATGGTCTCGTGCATAAGAAACTTGAAGTTCTTGTGGGAAGTGTTATTTACTTTAATTTTCAGATAGGTGTCCTTGATGGTGACAGCCTTGCCTTAAATGTTTCCTTGGTCTCTTTCTTATTTCTCCCTTTTCCTGCTTATAGAGATGACTAAAGCCCATAAATTGTTCAAAGACCTTTTGTTTCATTTGAGAGCAGAACTGTCTTTTCAGAGATGACAGAAAAAAGTGATTTACTTGCCTCCCAAATTGCATGGGAATGAGGTGGAAATGTGTAGACTTCTTAACCCTGTTGAACTCCCTCCCCTGTTAGCACTCTTCTTTTACTACAGGTTCTGTGATTCCTCATGTCCTGAATCTTGGAGACTGATCCTTTTTTGTCCTGTATACATTTAGTCTTATTAAGCGGTGTGGGAATCGTATTCTTACCTTTTTAATTTCTACACCATTTCTTAAGGGAAGAGAAGGATGGCTTTAGTGGTCAAAGTGCCATTGTGTGTTGCAGTAGTTTCTCAGGTGAAGTCAGGAATGTAGGTTTGGCTCTGAGACCAAAGAGATGATGGAAGCTGGGATTCTCTTTGATTAGATGACTTGATGAGTGCAGTTTATGGCTGCACAGGGTGAAAATCATGGCATATACAACTTGTTGGTCTGACTGGACTGGCACCATTTTGTTTGTCATGAATGGGTCGCTTTGGTTTAAGTCAAAGCATGTTTCTAATTTTTTTTGTTGTTGTAAAATTAAGCAATAATATAAGCTAAAGTAAGAATTTTTCCAC